ATTTAAAAGCAGTGTAAGGGAGGTAATCCAAACATAACATTGTACTTTTTTTTAATTGTCCAATTACCAAGAAACCCTTGTTTTTCCCCCTTTTTTGCCCCTAATTCCTAAACGGTTTGAGCCATAACCCCCCAAAGCCAATCCTAACCATCCCTTTGTGGTATGGAAACTTGTGGTATAATTTCAGAGAGATCCATACACCGTTCCACAAGTTATTGTCTGGAAACTAGAAAAATGCTAATTTGGGCCCCTTTTTGGCCCCTAATTCCTAAACTGTTAGGACTATAACCCCCAAAATCAATCCCAACCTTTCTTTTGTGGTTATAAACCTTGTGTTTAAATTTCATAGATTTCTATTTACATTTACTAAAGTTATTGTCTGGAAACCAAATGTCTTAGGACGACGCTGACTACGACGACGTGATACCAATAAACAACCGCAAATTTTTTTGCGGTCATATAAAAATTACTTGAACAATGACATCATTGATATTTTAAGAAAAAAAATGAAAAATTTAGCAATTTTTCCATTTGTAAAGGGGCATAACTCTAGAACAGTAAAAGTGACGCCACCAAAATTCAAACTTGATCTGTGTATTGTGATAATAAGCAATGTGTATAAGTTTCATAACATTTGGTTGAGGCAAACTTAAGTTAGAGAACGGAAAGGGCATAACTCTAGAACGGTTAAAGTGACGCCACCAAAATTAAAACTTGATCTGTGTTTTGTGGTAATAAGCATTGTGTATAAGTTTGATAACATTTGGTTGAGGCAAACTTAAGTTAGAGAACGGAAACCAATTTTGGAATGTACGGACAGATGGATAAGGGTAAAACTTAATGCCTCCTCCGCTTCGGAGGGGGCACAAAAAAAATTTATAAATTCCAAAAGGTTATTTGTGCCTAAAACATTGTATTAAACTCTAAGTGGGAACATCAAATATGATATTCATTTAGGGAAAAACTAAATAATGCGACCAACAGCAACATATCCTGTTCACAGTACATCTTAACAAGAATAGTACATGGATGCCCCACTTGCACTATCATTTTCTATGTTCAGTGGACCATGAAATTGGTGTCATAACTCTAATTTGGCATTAAAATTAGAAAGATCATATCATAGGGAACATGTGTACTAAGTTTCAAGAAGTTGATTGGACTTCAACTTCATCAAAAACTACCTTGACCAAAAACTTTAACTTGAAGCGGGACAGACGGACGAACGAACGGACGCACAGACCGAAAAACATAATGCCCCTCTACTATCATAGGTGGGGCATAAAAAATGTCATCTTTATAAAAAATAAATCCAAATGTAGAGGTGAACTTCAAATACTGTTTTTTTTTTTTTTATATATATATGCAACACATTTTTTAGATAATTACAGAGAAAACTTACAAAAGACTAAACACATACCCTAAACATTTTAGCTACACATCAACATCATATATTCTCCTTTGATTTGAGGTTTGACTTCAATGACAAATTGCTATCTTCCTTTATTGTACAAAACAACATTTGATCCACTGAATTAAATTTTCAATTCTTCCATAAGGAAGTTCCGCAACTGAAGTTTACATAATTTGCATATTAAACAGACTATTATTTAATGACTGCAGAAAAATGGGAAATTGCGTAATAATTTATCATTTAATAGTGTTACAACCGACAACTCAAGTGACTATATACTTATGCATAATTTGGTCCATTTACATTAAATTAGACGAAAAAGATTGTCATGTAAAAACTGCTTTGTGTTTCAGATTATTTTACCATATTTTTAACAGACCAAGAAACCGAAACAACTGAAATTAACAGACATTTAAGATGAATTGTTTATAATGGTTATAAAGATTAACACACATATTTTAAAAAGTTCATGGCAAATATAGGATTAAGTGAAAGCCATATTTATGTTTTTAATCTGGTTTTAATAGTTCTGTGGTAATCAAACCACACATTAACCTCTTAGGCTGTTAAAAATACAAGACATATAGTCTACAATGGCAAACTTTCAATTTTTTTTCATAAATCTTTATAATGATATATTACAGTATCTGGAAATTCTTGAATAGAGATTTTATCTTTCCAAACTATATTGTTAATGTTTGTTTCAACAAAGACAGATGAAGCTTTCTCAATACCAACATAATATAAATTTTGTTCCTATTATATTGAAATTTTAATCAACGCTTTCCATTTTGATTCCAAAATTTACTTTACAGAACTGATGTTTACTACAAATCTCAAGTATTTTTGGTACTGAAATCATGGCATTTTTAGTAATCATTTGGTCAATTATAGTATAAATGATTTACTGCTTATCAAAGAGACTTTGCCCTTTCAGAATACCAATGGGCCAAAACACTTTCAAGTAGCATAATGAATTCATTTCATAAAACTGAGCAACCAGTGAAAAATTAAAGTCCATTGACAGAGAAAGGTATTTATTAGTACAAAACTAGTGTTATGTAATAGTAATATTCGTACAATCCATCATCAATGACCGAATTTCCGTTTCATTAAAAGCTTGGATAAATCTAACACTTAGTTATCAAGTTCTCCAGTAAAAAAAGTTTGACGTGCTGCTTTAGCTTTGTATACAACAGCGTGATAAAATTCTCGTTATATCTATATTTAGCGGAGACTCAGAGATGTACATATTTATGGCTGTTGCAGTTTACCTTCCACGAAAATCAGCATGCATTGTGACCTATGTGCAAACACTAATTCACTGTGTTAAAATTAAAATTGAAAAAAAAATTCAAAACTGTTTTTTCTATTCTAATGCATAACAAATAGAATAAATGCATTACTTGGAAAAATGTATAAAATTAAAAAAAAAAAAAAAAAAAAAAAAAATAAATTCCATGAATGACCCTGGCGTAATAACGTTATGTATCATACAAATGGAAACTCTCAAGCTGAAAGTTATTCCGATACTTGAACGCTCCAAAAAAGGAAAATGTGTTTTTATCATTTCTCGAAAAGTGGTGATCTGAATGTTTTAACCACCAATTTTGGTATTTTGCAATACTAATAATAGTGAGGATCAGCAGATTTTCTTCAATAACCATCAGGGAAAAAAAGATTTGTGTTGTTTTATTTTCTATTCTATTGCATTATTTGCACATTTATTAGTCACTAGCAAGTCAGCATGGCGGCTCCTTATTTATAAAATGTCAACTACAGATTTAACGGACGCTTATGAAATGTAAATTAAAAGTTGCAAGTGTTGGGGTTGAGAATTAAAAGGATTAACACATTTTTTCTAGAGGATATATAAGAAATAATTCATGGAAGCTAGAGATTTATTGGAAATTTTTAGCTTTTTCTAACAAGGGGTAAAATAGAACAGCCACACACACACACAGCATACTTGTCCTCGTTTCAGTTTTTTAAATTATCGTATTTGTGCTATTACAATCTAAATAATTGATGCAAGCAATAGATTTGTTACCATTTTCACATGGTCTGGGCCGTTATATTCAAGAAATAATTCATGCAAGCCATAGATTTGTTGGAAATTTTCACATGGCCCAGGCCATGTGATTTTATACATTTTTTAAGATCTTATGCATTAATTCTTTTTGTTATGCATTAGAATAGTTTTTGTAGTTTCTTTTTCAATTTGAACACAACGAAATCCACATACTGTTTGCACATAGGTTACGATACATGTGGATTTAAGTGGGAGGTAAATAGTTACTATTACTACCATTAATATGTACATCTCTGAGTCAACGCTAAGTCTAAATATATTGAGAATTTTATCATGCGGTTGTTTACAAAGCGAAATAAGCACATCATATTAGAATCAACTAGATATCATTGAGATGGGAGCCATCTCTGTGGGCCCCGCTGTGAATAATGTGTGGTAAAAAATTGGTATCTTTATCATTTGACATGGGGTTGTCAAATGAAACCAAAGTTTTTGACCTTGACCTTTGACCTAGGAAGTTGTACATAAATTATGACACACCCTCTGGTGTTGGTTTATATACATATCAAGTATAAACTTTGAAATCATAACGGTTCTCAAGATATAGAGCGGACACGATCTTTACCATAGTACATGGGGTTGTCAACTAAAACCAAAGTTTTTGACCTCGACCTTTGACCTAGGAAGTTGTACATACATTATGACACACCCTCTGGTGTTGGTTAATATACATGTCAAGTATAAACTTTGAAATCATAATGGTTCTCTAGATATAGAGCGGACACGATTTGTTACGGACAGACTGATCACTATAGGGTGTCCGCCATTCGGCTGGGCCCTAATAATTTTATCCATCACCAATGCTAAATTAAAACATATCGGCTCAGGCCATATGAAAATGATAACAAATCTATGCCTTGCATGAATTATTTCTAAATAAAAACCACCTTACAATCATTCACTTGACCAAAGTAGTTTCCAATACTACTCTTAAGAAATGAGAAACTAATCAAGGAGGGCCAAAAACTTTTAAATGCTTTAGCAAGTCATTTAACCATCAAATTGAGGTAAAGTTTGACTGCAATATAACTAGTGAAAACATGTCTAAAAGCCTTTTTTTTATATATATATATATATATATATATTCTTGATAGGTAAGAGCAAACTGGAGGCCACAATTTAACATTTTTACTGGTTTTTATTTCATTTTGACGACAATAGTAGGCTAACTTAAGCCATAAGGCACCCTCTAATAATGCCATAGCAATAGATTATCCTTCATGACTAAATGTATCACAAGGAGATAAGCCATTTCTTTTAAACCATTGTGAATCTCCAGCTAGAGAAGGAATGCTATACAGATACAACAATTTGCTGTTTGGATTTAGATCTGATGTTATGGTTTATAATAATATTTTCTGTAAGAAAGTTCTTTAACTTTTTTTTTTTCTTTTTCAGCATAGTGTTAAAATAAATTATTTCGTAGAAAGCGTACTATTCAAAACAAAAAGTGTAGCCTTTCCTAACTGCATTTATATACACTACAAAACCCACCTCTGATCCTTGAGATTGAGGTCTTAATTGTCGATGTTCCACTCCTCGATCACGACTGCGCCACCTACGTAACATACGAGCTGTAGATCGACAGGGACACACAACACAGATAAACACAGCCAGTACGGGCATCAAAACAACAATCACTATAATCACAACTATCTTTGATATAGCTGAAATAACAAAATATAATCATCTTAGATTTCAGATCTATAATAATTATAAATTCATCACATATTTAGTACAAACATGAACGGTCTGCAAAGCAGAGCAAATATCCCCCTCTTCCAATTTTTGAAATATCTATATCATCAAATAATTAATAACATTCTTACAGTAATTCTAGGCATGATAATGTAGATTCCTTTTCTAAACTATTTATCAATACAAAATTGCATCACAAATTTCTATGTGAAAAGGATCAGAGCAAGACGATCTGATGAAACATGTTGGATGACAGACAGACAGATGGACGGACAGAGTACAAACCTAAAGTCCCCTTCGACTTTGTCGGTAGGGGACTAACTACTAACTGCAAATGATTTGTCAAAGGACCAGATGCCCTATTAATAAGTGCATTTTCATTTTTAAGATCTTTCAATATACAAAGTTTCATAACATTTGATAAAGCATGTTGGAGGAATGATTCAAAGGGGCATAACTCTGGAATTTGTTAGACGATCATGATGTCCTACTAACAAATATGCATCTTCATGTTAGGATTTTACAATGTACAGTTTCATGCACATTTGATACATCAAATTTTTAAGTTCAAGGGGCATAATTCAGAAAATACACAATGGAATGAAAATAAATGGGGAATGTGTCCATGGTACACAGATCATGCTACCACTTGCATATCATATAAAGTTATAAAGGGACATAACTGAAGAACAGTAAAAGTGACACTACCCAAATTTGTACTTGATCTGAGTTTTGTTAGGAATAAGTATTAGTATAAGTTTCATAACATTTGGTTGAGGCAAACTTAAGTTAGAGAACGGAAACGAAAAATTCAGCAATTTTTCCATTTGTAAAGGGCATAACTCTAGAAGAGTTAAAGTGACACCACCAAAATTCAAATTTGATCTGTATTTTGTGGTAATAAGCATTGTGTATAAGTTTCATAACATTTGATTGAGGCTAACTTAAGTTAGAGAACGGAAACGAAAAAATTCAGCAATTTTTCCATTTGTACAGGGGCATAACTCTAGAATGGTTAAAGTGACACCACCAAAATTCAAACTTGATCTGTGTTTTGTGGTAGTTAGCATTGTGTATAAGTTTCATAACATTTGGTTGAGGTAAACTAAAGTTAGAGAACGGAAACCAACTTTGGGACGTACACACGGACTGATGGACAAGGGTAAAACTTAATGCCCCCTCCGCTAGGGGCATAAAAGTTCTTCTGTTGCAAAGTTGACACATCATAATCTGTAAATGTTCAAGGAATGTATGGAACAAAACATGAGATGATACATCTCATCCTGTATTAAACCCTTGATCAAAATTTGGAACTTCCGATAAAATTAGGCACAGCAATAATCATAAAGTTTATTACATGTACTCATATTTTTAGCCCAAAAAGACCATTGAGAAATAAAGTTGTATTACAGAAACATCACTGATCTTGCCTTGAATGTTTTTTCCTTCCTGTATTCAAGTACAAGATGGCTTTAGTCAAATGTACATACCCAGTATATAAGAAAATCTCATTGTTGATTATTGAGATGATTATCATTACTTAGAGTTATTAAGATCTTTATTTTTCAAGTGGCAACATGTCATTCATACTAGTTGAATTGCTTGTTTTATTCCACATGCTTTTTTAATAATGTTTTATTAGTCACTACAATTTTTGCAACAGGACAGATATCAATGTTTATTTATGAAAACAAGAGTTGGATGTGTGCACTCCGAAATTATCAAATTTGAGTACATATGTACTACCTTGAGAGTGAAAAGAAACGATTCACATTCATTGGTGTTATGAGTCACGTGTCTAGCACTCTAGAATAAGATATTACATCTCTCGTCTCTGTGTCATGAAACATTTAGCACCTTAGTTTTCTCTATATCTCATTTGAAAAGAATGTCATAAAACAATTAGCACTTTAAAGTTTGATCTATATATTACTTGGAAAATTATCATCACTAGATCTCAACATTATCATATGTTTTTCGAAATATTCATTTCTAAAAATCCATCCTATTTTGCATAACTACAGCTTTATGTTTCTCCATGTTAGGGAAAATGAAAAATCATTTAGATATAAACATGTCAAATGTTCCTAGGCAGGTGACAAGGAATATCTTTTTTTAAGAAAATTTTTTCTCCTAAGAAACCAAAAAGGCATGCTTAAAATGCCAATCTAGATCAGCTCCTTGTTTTGTTACAGTAAATCCATGGGGACTTGTATGTAGTTATATTTGTTCCTTGTTCCTGATTATTGTGAAATTGATAGGGAAATAAATTTGTTATTTATTATGGGTGAAATGTCATCAGGTCATCATTATAAATATTTGCAAGCTTTCATTTTTTTTTACCTGGATCATCAAAATTTACTCAGGACAACAGATTTTAAGGGTATTTAAATAATTAGTGGTAAATTACATCTAAATAACAAATCTTTCACTGGACATTGCTTAAATTTCAAAGAACTGCATGAATTATTGTATGCTAAAAATTTAAATGTGAAATTAACAAGTTTTGCATTTGTTTGACATATTTTATATGTATTAGCTTTACTATGTGGCCCTAAATGACCTTGTGACACACTTTAAAAGGTCAAGATATTTTGGCTAGACAGACAATACTATGCAAATGAGTCAAATATAAATACATGTTCATAGTTTATGGAGGGTAGACATTTCTTTTTTATATTAACTGTCCTTCCTTCATGAAACTGAAAAAGCATTTATAGTATGTTGCCTTTTAGTTGACAACCTTTAAAAAATACTCAATCTGTAAGTTAAAAGGCACCCCACCTGTCCTACCTGTATCAAATTATGTGGTCTAGTCAAATTTACCTGTGTCCGAAAATCAGATCAATAAAAAAAAAAGATCATGGTCAAACCACAGAACCTGAAAACAAACATAATCCATGAAGACGCCTACACCATGTGCAGTTACATAACCCAGGAGGAAGCACAAATTACTATTTTCCTGTTGGTGTAGAATGTGTGTCTCATTTTACGTCTATTATCCTACTTATTCATCATACACACATAAATGATTAACTGATTTCAAATATATTAAATATGATTTTATCATGAATGATTAATAATATAATGTCTGACTGACAGATGTCTTCTCTATTCTAGATTTAATCTGTAATGGAAACCAGGTACAACTGGCAGACTAGGAGGAAAGGGAACTTGATTCTGATGAAAATTATTCCTTCTTTCAACAGTCTTTTAAGAGAAGGGGAGGAGGTTTAGTCAGAAAATAAAGCCTCTCTCTTGCTATCTGTAAATCACTTTGTTCATGTCATAAAGATACACCTTTGCTTGCTAGCTGTGAACCACTTTGTTCATGTCATAAAGCTACACTTTTGATTGATAGCTGTGAACCACTTTATTCATGTCATAAAGCTACACCTTTGCTTGCTAGCTGTGAACCACTTTGTTCATGTCATAAAGCTACACCTTTGCTTGCTAGCTGTGAACCACTTTGTTCATGTCATAAAGCTACACTTTTCATTGATAGCTGTGAACCACTTTATTCATGTCATAAAGCTACACCTTTGCTTGCTAGCTGTGAACCACTTTGTTCATGTCATAAAGCTACAGTACACCTTTGCTTGCTAGCTGTGAACCACTTTGTTCATGTCATAAAGCTACACCTTTGCTTGCTAGCTGTGAACCACTTTGTTCATGTCATAAAGCTACACCTTTGCTTGCTAGCTGTGAACCACTTTGTTCATGTCATAAAGCTACACCTTTGCTTGCTAGCTGTGAACCACTTTGTTCATGTCATAAAGCTACACTTTTGATTGCTAGCTGTGAACCACTTCGGTCATGTCATAATGTTACCCTTTTACTGGTGATATATTATTCATTTGGTCAAGCTTAAATGTCCAATTACTGATATATAACTTCTCGTTAAAGGACAGAAAAATTTGTAACTTTGTGGTTGGAACCCCCGTTCAAAAGAGGTATAATCATTCCTGGACCTATCACATGTTATTGCATTCTAAGCCTAGTCTTTTCCCCTGCTTATCATTATAACTTTGCAATTGCTACCTACGATTTCAAAGCTTAGGATTCAGTAGGGTAGGAACTGCCTTCATCATCAAATGCTATTTTGCTATTGTTTCAGCATTACATTGGTCTAAAAATTTATTTTGTATCAACTATGAGTGTCAAAAAGAGAAAATGTCTATTCTCAAAATTATTCTAACAAACAAATATGGGATAACCCATTCCCAGCCTCTTCCAGTAGCCGTGCTAACATACTGACAAAACATTTGCACATACAATCCGTGCAGGTATTGACCAGAAATTCTGTTTTTAGACTGACATTATGTAATGAGCAGCCCTAAACAACACAATATTACATAACAATTCTCCAGAAAATGATGTATTATTTCCATGGTAATTTGAGGTAAAGAAGACTGTCATTGATTACCTCATCCTTAGATCTGTTAAAGCCAACCAGATAAAAGACAGAAGACTTAGTCTAGTAGAGTAGGCACAGATAAAAGACACCAAGACTTACATCTAGTAGAGTAGGCACAGATAAAAGACATGAAGACTAGTCAAGTAGAGTAGGCACAGATAAAAGACAAAGATTAGTCTAGTAGAGTAGGCACAGATAAAAGACACGAAGACTAGTCTAGTAGAGTAGGCACAGATAAAAGACACGAAGACTTACGTCTAGTAGAGTAGGCACAGATAAAAGACACGAAGACTTACGTCTAGTAGAGTAGGTACAGATAAAAGACATGAAGACTAGTCTAGTAGAGTCACAACCATCTGAACCATTGATTACCTCATCCTTAGATCTGTTAAAGCCAACCAGATAAAGACACAAAAACTAGTCTAGTAGAGTAGGCACAGATAAAAGACACAAAGACTAGTCTAGTAGAGTAGGCACACACAAAAGACATGAAGACTAGTCTAGTAGAGTAGGCACAGATAAAAGACATGAAGACTAGTCTAGTAGAGTAGG